AGAGAAATAAAGAGTATGAGTATAAAGAAAATATTAAATATAAGCATATTACAAACAACAAATGAGTAATAATTTACAGATCCTCTTTTGAACATTCATATATTCGGTTGCAATTTCATTATCTTTTCGTTTTGTATTCGAATTGGCCATTTCATTTTCTGAAATATCGTCAATATTCTCATCTTCAACCAAATCTGGATCAGGTAAAATATCGTTATCATCTAATATATCTAAGCAGGTTTCGTCTAAATGAGGTTCGTCTAAATGAGGTTCATCTGAATGAGGTTCAACTGAATAAGGATCTACAGCTACGTTTTTGGCAACTTGTATATTTGATTCTATCTGAGAACTGCTTAGGCCGCTTGAGACATTTGGGCTACTTGCGATACTTGAGGTACTTGGAGTACTTGAGTCACTTGGAATACTTGAGACACTTGGGGTACTTAAAGAGCCTGAAATGTTTCTTTGTTCCTCATTGAGTTCAAGAGAAAGCAAGACATGCTTTGCGCCTATACGATTTGATGCAGATGTTCTTTTCTTCGTACGACCTATTTTTGTGTCTGTAGCATAGATTAATAAATAGGAGCTTTCAATCTAAGGCATTGTATTCGCTTTTTTATATGATCAGTCATGACAATATCCAAACACACTTTTTTACCTTGGCACTTGTTTTCTTTATTTTCGTAGAGGATATTAACGATATTAGTGTCAAAGTGTTAACAGTCAAAAAGACTAATTGAACTTCTTTATTTAGTTTCGCTTTATATACACATGATTCCAACAATAACATACTTTTGTGCAACACTTTAACTATTTCTTTCTTTGTAATTAATTTATTAAACTTTTTAATTTCCCATCATCATTATGCATTCAGCGATCACAGTACCCATTGTACCCGATCTTACTTATACCCGACACTACTGCACTATGATTTCCCACCACGACCCGATCACATGATCACGTGAGTCGTTCGATCCATATTTTTGTTTTACCTCCACACTCTTCATCTCATTAAACACTTCGCTATCAATTTGCATACCTTTTACAAGTACACAAACTATGTGATAATTAGCTACAAATTTTTCTTTTTATATAGCTTTTACTATATTTTACTACAACTCAGTAATTATTATATTTGATACATCATATCGATTATTAATACAAATTAGTAAC